AAAGAAAGAGAGAGAGAGAGAGAAAGAAAGAAGATCAGAAATCAGGGGTAGCAATATTACAAATGAGAAAGAGCATTCTCCGGGGGGAATGCCAAACCATAATCCCTTCTCCATTCTCCTCACAGGATTTTGGGCATGTACAAATGCATACGTGCCAGTATGTTTTTGAAGCCAGTGGGTCCTGGATTCCAACTATGGATTTGGCCACATAGGATCCAGCACCTTAACCACCATACCACCTGCTAGCTTGAGAATCTTTTGTTTTAATATTTGGTCCTTTGACACCAGTTTTTTGACACAGTGCTCCTAAGACTTGTCATTTCCGGAGTAATGGGATTGTCTAGCAGAGTTCTCAACTTCCTTGGCATTTCCAAGGTACACCGTTGTCTTTTGTTATTAAAGGGTTGGACCTTCTGGTCCTCCTCTGTGCCACCCCCAACCCCGCAGGGAGGAGCGAGAGGCTGAAGGTTGAATTGATCGCCAGTGGCCAGCGATACATAATGAGGCACCCATGGATATCCACAAGGATAGGGTCCAGAGAGCTTAGGGACTGCTGAATATGGGGAGGTGCCTGGAGGGTGGTCGCCCAGAGAGGGCGTGGGAGTACTGTGCCCTGTGATGTCCCTCGCCCCGGGCCCCTCTTCTGCTTAGCTGTGTGTTCATCTGTATTCTTCATAAGATCCTTTATTACAAATGAGTAAACAGAGTTTCTCTGAGTTCTGGGAGAAGCTCAGGGTCAACCCCCCACTTTACAGCTGGTTGGTCAGAAGTACAGGTGGCAATCTGCTTCTTGCGATTTACATCTGAAGCGTAGGGCAGTCTTGTGGGACTGAGCCCTTATCCCTTACCTGGGATTGGACACTATCCCCAGGTAGACAGTCTCAGAACTGAATCGAACCATAGGATACCCAAGGGTGTCTTCTGGAGAACTGGCTGTTGATAAGAAGTCCCTGTGCAGTTTCTTAAGAATTATTCCTTTACTTTGATTTATTATTATTATAACTTTTTAATTTATTTCAGGGCACATGCAACCATGAGAGAGAGACAGAGAGAGAGAGACAGAGAGAGAAAGCAAGCCGCCAGGTCCAGGACTCAGACCACGATTGGCCATGTGGGAGTCCAGCGCCTTAACCACCACACCACTGTTGACCCCACCCCTATGCATTCTGGTGACCAGAAATGAGTGATATGTGTGTGATGGTGAGAAAAATCCACTTTGTTTTTTTCCTGTATCTTACAGACATCTCTCTATGACTTCACACGGCCCTCCTTCTGTGTGTACGTATCTATATCCAAATTTCCTTTATTTTTTTAGAGAGAGATTTTGCTATAGGGTATGCATGCTTCCCAGAGAGACACACACAGAGAGAGAGAGAGAGAAAGAGAGAGAGAAATACAGACAGTGCAACAATAGCCACTGAAAGACAGAAAGTGAAAAATTACCCCCTGGGGGGATGGCCACACCGCAATCCCCTCTCCTCCAGCCTCCTGTTGGGATCCTGGGCACGCATGCACACACGTCCAGTGTGAGTTTGAAGTTACCAGGTCCAGGACTTGAACCACAGTCAACTACGTGGGAGTCCAGCAACATAACCACTAAGCCATCTGCTGGTCCCTCCTCTTTCTGTAAGACATTAGTCCTATTAAATTAGGGCCCACCGTACTGACCTCATTTAAATATAATCACCTCTTTAAATAATAATGTATTATTATTTTTCAACCCACTATAGAGCATGTGTGCTCACCAGACACACACACACACACACACAGAGAGAGAGAGAGAGAGAGAGAGTGAGAAAGCAAGCTGCCAGTCCAGGACTCAAACCACAGTCGGCCATGTGGTAGTCCGGTGCCCTAACCACCACACTGCTGCTGGCCCCTTCAAACTCTCTTTATGAAGACCCTATCTTCAAATAAAGTCGCGTTCTGAAATACTGGGGTTTAGGACTTCAAATACAAATTTTGGAGGGAGCATAATTCATACCATAATTGGGACAACGAAGAGGACAATATATTGGATATGGTGAATAAAAGGTTCCAAAATACAGAACTGACGTAAATGTATACGGCCCACGTCCGGCACTCACTGTCAGGGCGGCTGTGAGCCCATCTGCTGTCTGCGTGTCTCTCCGGGCAGGCACAGCCCTGAGCTGCTGCCTCCCATTCAGTGAGGTGAGCACGGGCTGGTATTGCTTGGCCAGGTGACCTTGTGCAGTGAACAACCTGCCCAGCCAAACTCGCAGGTCCCAGGGCTGGTGGTCAAGAACCGGACAGAGATTGTCAACGAACTCGTGACAGAAAGGTATCCACATAGAGCTGATGGAGCTGTGTGACAGGTGACGCACCTGGATGTTGCCAAGACGACTGTAACATGTGGGGAGCAGCTACATGGGGGGAGGAGGGAAGGAGGCGGCACACTAATCTCCCAGAGGACACTCTGACCACTCGTCGCCTTTGGCCCAGCTGCGAGAACTCAGCCTTGAGAAACATACCAACCGCACAAATTCAGAAGCAGGATGTGCAAAGTGAGCCACCGAAGGGAAGCATTTAGAAAGAACGGAAAATCAGAAGTCAGGGGTTAGCAATGTCATGAGCTCGAAGAGCATGACGATAGCCACAGAGAGGCAGAGCGGATGCTGCTGGTGCTGAGAAGGGAGTAAGTGACAAGCACAGGCGGGAGAGAAGAACGTGACATCGCAATGCCCTGCCAGTACACGCGTGCCCAGCAGATAAAGTGAGACTGATCAGAGGGGGCACTAAGAGCTTGATGTCCTAGGAACTGTAGAAAACAGAGCCCAGAGGGGGCCAGCAGGTGGCATGATGGTTAAGGGTGCTGGACTCCCACATGACTGACCATAGTTCGAGTCCCAGACCTGGTGGCTTGCTTTCTCACTTTCCCTCTCTCTCTCACTCTGTCCCTCTTTGGTCAAATTAAAATAAATAAATAAATAAAGTTAAATAAAACAATTCTTTTAAAAAGAAGAAAAAAAAAAAAAGGGTCCAGCAGGTGGCATGGTGGTTAAGACAGCGGGACTCCCACATGACTGACCATAGTTCGAGTCCCAGACCTGGTGGCTTGCTTTCTCACTTTCCCTCTCTCTGCCTCGCTCCAGCAAACGCACACGCTCTATGGCCAAAACAGCCCCAAAAAATGAATTGTAGGGGCCGGCAGGTGGCGTGGTGGCAGTTCGAATCTCAGACCTGGCATCTTGCTTTCTCACTTTCCCTCTCTCTGCCTCGCTCCAGCAAACGCACACGCTCTATGGCCAAAACAGCCCCAAAAAATGAATTGTAGGGGCCGGCAGGTGGCGTGGTGGCAGTTCGAATCTCAGACCTGGCATCTTGCTTTCTCACTTTCCCTCTCTCTCTCACTCTGTCCCTCTTTGGTCAAATTAAAATAAAATTAAATTAAATAATTCTTTTTTTTAAAAAAATAAGCAAATAAATAAAGCTAAATAGAATAACTATTTTTAAAAAATAACCTAAAGTTTGATAACACTGCCTTCAAAAGTAATGGTAACCAAAACTCAAAAAGAAAAAAAAAAAAAAAGAATTGTAGAAAAACGTCTTTCCTAATGAGATTTTTAATACAAAGCAACGTAGAAAGATGACCCCTTCCAGAACAGAGGCCCTTGCTAGCTGTCAGGGCAGGGCAGAAGATACCCAGCCCCGGAGGTGTTCATCGGCAACTCCTCCACCTGGTGGATGCCCCCAAAGCAGAGGATGCCCTCTGTTCTCCCATGGCCAAGCCAGGAGCAGTTTGTCAGCCTCCTGACACATAGCAGGCTGCCAGCCCCTTGGGAGTTGAGCTCAGGACAGCCAGGGTGTGGACAGAGGTGCAGACGCATCGGCTATGTCTGGGTGGCAAAGTACAGAGTTAGGGGCCACTTCCCCAGGATACAAGACGCACCCCACACAGATACACATACCCCATGTGTCCCCCCACACACACACAAACACGCCAGTCACACCCAATACATGTACGACTTTGACACAACGTGGCCACTCCAGTCCTGTTCACCTAAATGGGCACTGGACTCCTACTTGAGACGTCGATGATCAATTTAGGCTTTCAAGGTCAAGTACATCCGGGACCCTTTGGCCTTTTGCTGGGGGTCACCCTGGGTGGCTGTGCTGGGCTTTGGTGAAGTAGTGAGAGCTTCCCTGTCTCCTGTCACTCTAAGGGCTCCCTAGCACTGACTTCCTCACACCCTGGTGTCCTCGCCACCCCCGTGAATATCACAGGTCTGGCAAAGGCACACGCCCAAGTCGTGCATACATTCCACATTCCGGGCCCCTGAGAAGGGGAGCGGGCTGGGAGGGAGCCCTGGGAGTGGAGCGGTCGGCACACGCAGGGCCGAGAAACAGACACCCACTGACACAGACAGCAGGACCCTCCTGGGGTGAGACTACCAGGGTCCCCCTCATTGCCCCAGAGCTCGAAGGGAGAGATGCCCAGCGGCACCTGGCCATGAAACATTCATCACCACAGTGGATCCCCTTACACTGCCCCCACTCTGACCTGACCTCGGGACTCACTTGGCCTGAGGGCCCCTACTGGAGGTGGCTGGAGCCAGCCAGGGGGTCCAGCATGGCATTCAAGGCCAGTCATCCCTCTTCCCCGATGTGCCCCCTCCCTGCCATACCACCCAAGTTCCCAAGTCCAAGCAGTGGCCAGGAAGGGGCCAAACTCTGTGCTTTGTCCTGTCCCCAAACCATACCCTGAGCCCACTCTAGCTAGGGCATTTGGGGACCCCAACCTTCAAACCCTTTACTCTGCTCCTCCCCTCAGAGGCTCCAGGGAGTTAAGCTCTTTATCTCCCTCCACCCACATTCTTGGCCCCCACACTGTGCTCCCCTGCCCTGATCACCCTCCTCCCTCTACCAGCTCTGTCTCCCTTCACCTGGGGAGGAGGGACCTGAAGGAGTTGAGGCTGAGTGGCCCATACCCCTTCCTGCCCGTCTGGGTGGGTGGTCCCTAGGAGTCCCTCCTTACATACCGTAGTGGCTGGCTCTGGCTCTGGCTCTGGTTCTGGTTCTGGCTCTGACCCTGGCCCTGGCCAGCCTCTGGGCAAGGTCCTTCCAAGGGTGCTTCTGGGGTTGTGTCTTCCTCGGGGGCCTGCAGCCTCCGAAGCTCCTCAGGCTGTAGGGCCTGGTACCATGGCGGGGGGCCGCCTTCAGGACCCAGCACAGGGCTGGACGCCTCCTGATCAGCCCCGTCAGCCCCTCGGCCCCCCGGCCTCACCACAGCTCCCGGGAGCTGCAAGAACCGCTGCATTGGACATCAGGTCCCTTCCAGGGCAAGACTGAGCTGGCTAGGCCACTGGGCTGCCTGACACTGTCACCAGACAGCCCCGCCCCGAAACTCAGTAACCAGACACTGGCAGGGAGGGAGGCTCTGGTTTCCTCCTCACTGTTCAGAGACAAGGCCCTAGAGAGGGACAGGAGGTTGGAGACTAGGGACTGGGGACTATCCCTCAATCTCTGGGCAGGGGCCTAGGGGATCAGAGGGGTTGATACAGACAGAGGTGAGACGTTGCCCTCTTTGCTCTTTTTTTTTTTTTTTTTTTTTGCTATGGGACACGTGTGCTCACCAGAGAGAGACGGAGAGAGGGAAGGTGAGAATCCACCCCACAATCCCTTCTCCTCCAGTCTCCTCTCTGGATTTTGGGCACTCATGCACACATGTCCAGCAATGTTTTTTCAAACCACCGGGTCTGGGACTCAAACTATGCAGTCGGCCATGTGGGATCCTGCTGCCTTAACCACCATGCCACTAGCTGGCCTGCCCTCTTCACTTCTAATTCCACAGCCACAACAGGACCTCAGCCTCCCCAGAAATCTTACATAGCCCCTTCTCCCATTGACCCCAAGCCTCTTGATCTTCATCTTCGCTCCCTGAACCAGTTCCTTGATGTCTCCCTTATCAGCCTCCTACAGGGCTATGCTCCCTCCAGCTTCCCTCACTCACACCATGGCCCTCTTGTGCTTGTCCTCCACTGCCCCTGATCTGGAGTGGAGGTTGGCCATATCCATAATACTCAACTCCTCAACCCTCAAGTCCCAACCCACAGCCTTCCTCTTGTTCTTATAGCTTCACTACCTGCTTTTCACCCCCCAAAAATGGAAGGTTTCTATAACCCCCTGCAGTTCCCGGCCCCAGACTCACATGCATCTGCATTTGTGCTCTGCTCTCCCGCCCTCCTCCCTGCGGGCAGAGCCAGTCCTGGCATCAGGCGAGTCCTGCAAGCAGCTCAATGCCTCTGTTATCCCCGTCATGCTCCCACTGGCTCCTCATCAGTGGTGAAACCTGCTCAGGACTCTCCTCACAATAAACAAACAAAAGCTACAACAAATACACTTCCTTGAACTGATGCCATCCACTAATTCTTTCTCCCCTTTCCAAGCAAACTTCTTAAAGGCAAAATCCCCATTCACTGAGTTCTGTTTATTCACCTCTTCTTTGCTCCTTTATTCACTTCAGTCTGGCTCTAGTTGCTGATTTGGAATTGAGGGCTGAAGAATTGTGACCTCTGCAATTTGCGGGGCTCAATTAAAAATACAGGAGGGGAGGGCCAGCACCATAGCCTAGCGGTTAAGGGCGCCAGATCCCACATGGCTGACTGAGGTTAGAATCTTAGCCCGGCAACTTTAAAAAACATATTGAGAGACCAGCAGATGGCATGATGGTTATGTCGCTGGACTCCCATGAAGTTCACCATGGTTTCAGTCCTGGACCTGACTACTTAAAACTCATGCCAGGCATATGTGCATGGGTGCCCAAGATTCCAAGAGAAGAATGGAGGAGAAGGGATTGCGGTGTGGCCATCCCCCCTGGGGGATGATTTCTTGCTTTCTGTCTGTCTCTCCAGTGAGCACACCTGCCCTATAGCAATAAAAAAAAAAAGTACTAGGGGGCCAGCAGGTGGTATGGAGTTTAAGGTGCTGGACTCCTACAGTTTGAGCAGTTTGAGCCCTGGACCCGGGGCCTTGAAAATCACACTGGATGTGCGTGCATGCATGCATGTCCAAAATCCCAAGAGGAGAATTGAGAAGGGACTGTGGTGTGGCCCCTGGGGGGTGATTTCTCACTTTCCCTCTCTGTCTCTGCCTGTCTCTCTACAGCAAAAGCACATGCACTATGGCAAACACAAAACAAAGCGATCAGCAGTTGGTATGGTGGAGGAGTCCAACCCGGTGGGGCTCCAGGACCCGTCTGAACCCCTTGACCTTTGAGCATCGCTTCCGGTCGGTTCAGTGAGTTGGCAAGGCCGCGACTGTACGCCCCCCGACCTTGGAACAAGCTTGGGTCACTTAGCATGTTGGCAAGGCCGCCTGCTATTC